ATCCGGACAGGCTTGAAAAAAAATTTTTTTTTACACTAAATAAATTAAATGTCTTTTAAAAATATTAAATGCGTTAAAACGAGTGTTTTTCTCTTGACATACGTGTATTTATATTAATTTAAAAGTGCAATATGAATAAAATAGAGACATTTTACTTCAGAAAACTGCTTGATTTTGGTAAGGCGAGAATCGAGCATTTCCTCAAGCGCTTTCACGTTATAAGGTGTGCAATATTTAAACATACAATTCACAACTCTCACATCTATCTTCGTCTGCTTCATCCCTTCCATAGTCTTTGTTCTTTCAAATTCCTTGTCTACTTTTAATACTTTCATACTGGCGCTTCATTTTTCCTATATTCGCGACCCATCTACTTCAGTTCCCAGATTCTACTGTCGGCGAAGCAGACCCTTCCCTTACCGGCTACAACTGCGTCTTTGGAATGCTTAACAGCAGGCTGTGGTGAGGGTGGCTCTGGATCCAGAGTAGTTAAAGGGGTGGAGTATTCTGCTCTCATCTCCTTGCGTACGATTGTGCTCAAACTACGCTGGCATTTACGATCGTCTTTTGCAGTTTGTGATGAATCCACACTTTAATTTAAATCAAACTTTAAGCTGTTATATACCAGCATTAGTATGGGTGGAAGAAAGGGAAAGAGGAAGAAGAAGATGAAGAAGGGGTTAGGGAGGGACGTGATAACAAATAAAGTTATGATGAATTGTTGTGTATATCCCAATTACAAAGTAATCTCATAAAACTATAAAGTAGCTACGGTGAAACTTGAAGATATTGATGTGATGTTTATTTTTATACTGAGTTTTTCTACTCTTTTGAGAAGAGTTATTAATAGACGAAACTTTTTATGGAGTTGAGAATTAATATTATGAGTTGGTTTACCACCAGAATTTTTAACTATTTTCTATTTTTTAGTAATACTAACAAAAGTTTCCAGTAAATCTAAATAAATATTTAAAGGATACTTTAAAACATTCCAAAAAATTTGTCAATGCCGCTGAGTTAAAATGTGCTCCATTTAAGACTTTTGATTATCAATTTTATTTTCTAGCGTTACACACGATTGTTCATAGCAAACTTTCCACTCTCTGTATCATAATTCATCCTCTACTCACTTGGTTATTTATCTCCGAGACAAAGGTACCATAAGCAATAAAAAGAGTAGAGTAAATAAATAAAATAGGATGAAAATTGTTGGAATTAGATCAGCTTTATTGACATTCACCAATTGGTTCCCATGGTCACCCGTGACGCAAGCGGATTATAGATTAAACGATGGCGAGACAATTTTCTCCTGGAGCCAGTTGCTATGAGGATATTCACTTCCTTCGACTCCCACTCTTTTCTCCCGGTGTTCATCAGCTTCTTTCTATATTGCTCTTCATTTAATAACTAGTGTGCAATAAGTAACAACAATAAACATCTTTGTCCTGCATCTCAGATCGTCCAACTGGCTATCAACGCCATAATCATCTGAGAAAAATAATATTGATCAGATAATGAGTTCTTAAGCGTGTCCTTTATCCCTGTAACGGATAATGATAGTGAGTGACGGTAAGCAGAGAATGTGACAATGTGACGACGAGAACGTCTCCAATGATTACGACACGCTGTGACGTTAATTGATTACTCACCGCTAATTAAATTCCATTCAACATACAATTACTATTTAGCAGGCCTTATTGTTAACAGGGTATTCGTATTCAAGTGTCTTAAGGATAAATCACTCTTGTCCCGACTCGTCACGAGACGTTGACTAAGCGCCAACCATTGAGTTCCGAGCATTAAGACTCTTTTGGAACTGTCAGAAAACAAACTGCACCACTAAGTAGAGTCAAATAATCACACGGAGAAAAAATTATTGCGCTCATCACTCTATGTGCGCATATTCTCAATACACTGTATCGCAATAATCACGATCCACATGGATCCGGACATTGTACGCCTGTATCGCTATAGTTGCGATTGCGATACTTTTTACTACATGTCACATTTTTTCAAATTGTATGTAGTGTGATTCCACAAAAAATAAATTCCAAATTAACAATTAATACTGGTAAATATTTTGCCTTTAAAATTGTCACTATTAATATTATTATGCTGTTAATATAAATTAAAATGGATAAATATTGTAGTATCAATTTTATCACAATAAACATAAACATTCACGAGTAACATAAGAATTTGGTTATGAGTGGTGGCGCTGCAGACGTGGATTGCGATAATCACGATACGTTTTGCTGTAGCAGAGAAACATTTCCTTACGATCACCATGCATATTGATAAATTCACAATACACTTGGGTCGTGTTACTCCGGATTCAAAATTCCGTGAAAATAATAAAAAAGTTTTGTACTCATCATGATACTACGTCCACGATCCACTGGATAGAGAATTCTTATTTTTATTTCAACATGCCGAATTCTTTGACCCGGGAGCTAGTTTCAGGTTATTAGCACCACTCTTTGAGGGTGAGGAGGCACTATCGGCATTGCATGATGTACCGTCTGATGTATCTGGGTTATCCAAAACAACTAGCTTGGAACAGACCAGGGGGTACGTGACGTACAAACGGGAAACTAACTGCTCGGCACAGCAACTAAGGGAAGAGAAGATACTACAATAGTTGTTAGTTGTTGTAGTTACACTCGAGTGCAGCGCATACATTTACAATAATAACACCAGTAGCTGTCACTATTATCATTGTTGTTGTGTAGTGTGTAGCCGAGATGAGTTCCCAGCTAAGTTAACCAAAGCAAGTAAAGTGTAAAGCGAGATAGACTCGTCTTCAAGCCCGATGAATAACAGCTACATGTGTATCATTCATCATGCATTATGGATTGTGTATCCCCTATACATATTTATACACAAACTTTTTAGATGTACCTGTCTCAGGGATGTATTGTTCCGTCTGCATGTGGGATCAACCTTAACGTAGCCTCCACTGATGAGATAATAGATGAGTCAGTTGCGATTAGTAACGCAAGCTTCGAACTCTATGATACTTCAGATACACTTACCAGGCGTGATCACCATTCTATCATTTTCACGCTGTCATCTTCATCTTGTTGCCTTGCTACTCAGTGTGTTGGTGGATCATGCCGTGATATGATGATCGTCGATGTACGATGCAAACAAATTCATTCGCTAACCTCTTCTAGAGTGATGTGACGTATGTCAGTGCTCTTGTAACTGAGCTGGCGCCCACCCGACCTACTTAACGTGCTCTACATACATTTTTATTAGCATTTACTCATTGGTAATGAATACTTTGACCTAGATCACTTTTTTGAACAATTGTAAAGCTTACTCAGGTCAGCATCGCGTCAAACGCAGAAAATCAGTATCGTGAAAGTCCAAAGCTAAAAAAAATCAATTACAGGAAGCTTTGTCTGGAGTCTACAGTGGTTACTCTCCAAAACGCTAGTTGAAGTAGAAGTTAATAATTACTTGACTCTGAAAAAGTAGCAACAAAAAAGGCTACAGAGCTCAGGTTTTGCTCGATTTTTAACGCTCGGGCAGAAGGAGGTGTAAAAAGAAGAAACGTAAAGATTGCGCGAGCTGTTAAAGGAGAATACGGAGGGTGAAAAGCAGTAGCTTTCCAGCAAAATCGCTCCTTTCTTGGTCTACTTGGTCTTCCTTGGCAACATCATTGTACTATTGTACTACTGCGTTGGAGAAGCCAGGCTACAGTATACCGTTAATGGTACTTCTATTCGTAAATGTATCGTTAGTGAGTGCTAAGATAAGCAACTCTCACTGAACACTATAATATGCAACCCCTGGTTCTGGCCCGCGATCAGAATTACCTATACTAAGCGAGCAGCACCATCAAGCCCGGCTATATACTAATTACTAAAGTACACTCGTTTCAAGCAAGAACGATCTTTCAAGATATTTTAATTTTAGTAATTCATTATTTGCTTATGCTTTTCGCGAAAGAGTTATAATGAATTAAGTGACAATTACGTTAATTGAATATTTTTCATGTCTGGAAGTGCTATTTTTAACTCTTTTCCTAACAACAATAATAAAAAATTCTTTTAAAGAATTCTCAGAATTTTTAATCAAGATTTTGAATAAAGGGTAAGGTATGACAAAATTGATAAAGATTTTTTTTTGTAGAGGATTTTATTTAAAAATTATATTTAAATTAATAAAAAATTTCGCATTATTTTTTTGTATCTTTGAAAGTCTACTCTAAATTTAAGCTCAAAGCTTCAAAAATACTTTTTTTTAGGTTCCTAAATCGAAAAATTAGTGGCAGATTTTGATTTAGAATTCTTTATTAAATAATGAAGATATGAAAAAATTGATGAAAATCTTTCTTGTAGGAAATTATATTTTCTATAAGAAAGGTCTCTTATGATTTTTTGGAATCCAAAATTTGAGACTTAATTTTTTTATAAAAAATACGCAATTTATTATCAATAGTGATGATCAAGAATTAAGGATGTGAAAATAAACAAAAAAAACATAAAGGTTAAAAATTATTTTATTCGAAAATTAGTTATATTCATATCTTTCGACAATATATATATTAAAAACTAACATAAAATAAAGTAGAGCGTCGTTGAAGTAAAAAGTTGGCTGCGAGTAAGACCAAGAGCAAGTGGTACCTAATTATTTGGCACTTGTCGAGCAGTTAAAGGACCCTCGCTCCTCGATTCGGCGTCTAAGATCGATAAGTCGGTGGCAGATAAAAATGAGGTCGCCTTAATTGTCTCCGAGCAAACAGTAGAGAAGCAGACAATAGATAGCAGACAACAGACCGTAGATCATAGACCATAGACCATAGACCATAGCCTTGCATGCCTCGCGATCGGCGGTTTGACAGAAGCGAAATGAGCCGACCGTTGGAGGGTGTGAGTGGAGAAATAAATTGCGAGGAGCGGCACAACAAAAAATAAAAATAAAAACAAGAAAGAAAACAAAGGAAGAGATAAGGATAAGAAAAGTATGAAGCCTAGTGCAGCTCAGCGGTGTCAATTTCTCTGTGGCTTAATAACGCGAGATGCCGGCGGTGGCAATTTAGTGAACCCAGCATTATCGAAAACTGGAAGCAGATCCCGGACCCGCTGCCCGGCGCCCAACGAAGCTAATTCCAGCCATCTGTCATTTGAACAGCTATGATGAGTTAACAATCAAAACATGCTTTAAAAGTCATTGCAATTATCAATACCTTAATTATTTATTCACTGCAGACCCACCTGTTGTTTTTATACTTGGCCAAATTGGCGCTTATCGGATGAGGAGTCTCTGTTGGGAAGAAGGTTGCTCCGTAGAAATCGAGGCCGCGGCTTAAGAGCATCGATGTTTCTTCAACACTTGCCAGGGTCACGCGGATTACTGGTGGTCCTGTGTAAATTGTCGGTGGTTCGTTGCTGTTCTCGCTCTTCAACTTGTCGTTGATTGCTTTCACTGTTAAAAGCAACAAACGAGAGTTTATTATCAGCAAAGTCAACGGAAAGAATTGGCGGTGATTGCGAGCCCTTGTATTTCATAATTGAGCCAACTATGTTCTATTTCGATAAAAATCGAACGAAAGATTGTAGATATAAATATAAAATAACACATGGAACTTACAAACAGTCGCCGTGTTGAGTGGTAACCTGGTGACCTCAACAATAGACCGATATTTATAGAGCGCATGTCTTATATCATCCTCCGGCAGCTCCTCAGGGACGTCAAGAACATAGACAGTGAATATTTTAGCAGGCCTGCAGGGGATTGCCACCTTTTTATAGAATCTCGCGCCAGTCACTTTATGAAATCCTTTTTTGTACACCGCCTGAAAGTCGTCGATGTTGCTGAACTTGAACAGGATCCCAGTGGCTGTCTTTGTCAGCGAAAAGGCCCCTCTGTAATCAGTTAACGATAATGATGACAACTTTCATAAGTTCCCAAGATGACCCCATTACTTGGTCTTAAAACCTGAGATTGTTGAAGCCAGAGAGGGTTAAAGTGGAGCAGCTTGATGTCCTATCAGCACGAATGAGTGAGTAGTCCTTATCAGACTTAAAGAGCCGTTGAGAACATGCATTTATTAGTGAATAACCCGGAGGGTTGCTGAGAGCAACCAGGACTAGTGTTCTGGGATGAACTTGGGATGAGAGATAGAGGATAGAGAAAGATCTATAGTACCGAGGGGCTTGAGTTGGAGCGACTGGAAAGTGGATTGTCGACGGGGTAGAAAAGTGGCTACCGAGAACAGGATTCTACACCGGGAATAAGATACTGGTACGTGAAATCGTTAGGGGTTCACGACAACCGCTATTCCAGTTCAAGTCGAATGAGCCGGAGAAACCGCGAGGGGAATTCCAAGAGCTTCTGACTCGCCGGAAGTTCATTTTCTTCGGAATGGTCCTCGTACTTATCGTGCTCAGACTCTGGTCTTTGCTCTCTCTTTCCACTATTCGATGAATAAACGTTACTGGTATGCAGAGTTAGTAATGGTGCTGACATCATCTCACCAGAGCAACACAAGCGCGAGATGGGAAACTAACAGTCGCCAAGATTCCACCCTTCAAGATCAGGGCAATTGGCGAAAATTCAGAGTTACAGTGAGTTATAGATGCTGGATTAGGAGTCGGTTGGTGGTGGTTAAGGTTTTTATTAGCAAAATGTCTTACCGAAAGTTCATCTTGTCGCAAATGGTAGCAGCCTTTTCGACGGTCAGCTCATGACTGGGTGTGAGAAGAAAGGCACCTTTGGTGAGGAAGTCGTGTTCACTGATTTCCGAGTCGGTATCATGATCCATCCAATCGCGCTCCTGACCAACAGCACCCTCTTGGTTTAATCTGAGAGTTGAGCTATTCTTCGAAGTCGACATATCCTTGTCGTAAATCCCACTGACAGATTGTTCCGATTGCGACATCTTTTTATAGTTTATCAACAATGCAGCTGGAGGGGCTCAAGGACCGCTATGTAGATTAAACCGCCTTATTCTTATTAATAAGATGCGTTATGTTACGTCTGATCGAGGACAATACAGTTTATATTGAAACACTGCCGTCTTGGTAGACTGACCGCGTATCGTTGAGACTCGCCTTTTATACTGTTGATGAGCGAATCAAGGGATCTGGTGCTGTTATTAGATTAGTGATGTCTCGATGATGCATAAAGGCAAAAACGCTTGCAATCAAATACGGCCTTTTGCTGGTTATTTGGCGCTTAATTATTCGGAGCGTTCCAACCAGCATTGATCCGATTCAATAGCAGGTGATGCAGAATAAGAATAAGAGTAAAAAAGACGAATAAGAGTAACTAAGACTCTCAAGATGATGTTGGTATTGATCAGCAGGAAGTGGATTCAAATGTAGGTGGCTAATCAACCGTTAAGTTTTTGCCTCCGGACAATGGAAAGATGCGTGGGATCGCTAATTTGATGATTTTATGAACCGATATCCAGTTAATTGCATCAGGGCCAATGTCTATTTTAGGTGTCACGGTTCGTCGATTATTTTTAAACTCCATTGTCTGAGTGGGGCGATGTTAATCAACGGCTGTTAAGTTGAGTGGTTCGTCACTGACTGCCCATAAATCACCAGATCTCTAAGTAATGATTGTGATTAATGAAATTCTGGGTAGATTGAAGAGGGGAAAGGGGAGAGTGAAGTGAAGTGGTGTAACGTACTAGTGTTGGTGCGATAATAATTTTTGAATATGCTGAAAATTAATTACCAATGCACAAGAGGAACTATAAATCTTATGTAGATGCATCTTATAACTACGGGGTAAGTTAGTGCTAAGGTTTGTGCATGTTGTTGTAGCTCTGTTGCTAGGCGCGAGAACGCGAGAGGGTGAATCGGAACCGCAGCGCAACAGCAAGCACGTGACTTAGATCGATCCAACGTTAAGGTAGCATCCAAATATAACGTTGGATTCAGCGCGTAGAAAATGGGCCACGAGCCGTGATTTTTCACAAGTGTCCTAGCCACAAACCCATTAGAGCATTGGTAGTATTAAACCCCTCAGGACACCTACTGCCGTCTCTGGCTCTACCCCTTGTTTCCCGGTCTAAAAACCTCATTTAGTTTTCGCTCTCTGTCGGATTACCTTTTCATACGTACCATTGAACAACAATAGCGCATTTGGATAAAACAGTAATCTGGATCAGCACAACATATCCAATTCCTAAATTTAACACCCCCCAAATTCAATTCATTTGCATTCTCTGTTCCTATCAGGTTGCCCCTACTCCTTTCTTTTGGGTCTAGATCCGTTTGCAAAAGATATTGAGATAGAAAACGATAATTATATGGCGTATAACTATCGAAAAGGTTTAAAATCAAATTGCCGGAATTAGCGGGCGAAGGAAGATGGGCTGTAGCTGTAGAATTGGTAGCGACTCGTGCCGAACCGACCGACTAATTACTTAACAAAGCAATTACGAGCGCCTTCGTCCAATTATACTCGCCACACCCTCGAGGCTTCTGCTAAAACCAGAATGAGCTTTTCTGGAAGTAACCTCTGCTGCTTCTATCTCCGGTGGTGCTTCTTAAGGTCCCTTAGCTGATGTACCTAATGTTGGTACACACTTGCTTCATCATTCCTCACCGGAGAGGAATTTCGTATTGGGGTGATGGGTAATCACCCTGATGCGTTTGTTCATTAACTATTTATCCAGTGTGACGCTGCCTAATCACATCAACGTTCTCATCATTATAATCAAGCAAACCGAAATTACACGACAGTTACTGATGTTTATCTGGAAGTTTGAACCTCATTGGGATTGGCGGCAACGAAATAAAGTCCAATAAAATTCAATAGATCGAATGAATGAATTGAAGAACGATGACTAGATATTTCGACTAGCCAGAAATGGACAACTGTCTGCGAAGGCATGAATCGTAATTGCCCGGAAATGGAATTCGGATGGTGCCGCTTCTGTTGAACAGAGCAATAGCAATACAAAGTGAGAACCAAGAGCTGTTGGGCTGGTGGGATGGGATGGACAGGGGTTCAAGAGACGTCTTCACAAATATGTCGAGATACAGGCTCAATATGTGCAGACGGTCTACGTTGGCATGACCGTAGATCCGTCGGGAGTAAGGAGTGAAGGAGCAAGGGAGTGAGTAGCAGCCAGCCAGTGTTAGGGTGGCATCAAAAGGGAACCAGAAGAGAGAGAGAGAGAGAGAGAGAGAGAGAGAGAGAGAGAGAGAGAGGGTTGACGCCGGTGGCCTGTAACTCTATGCCTCGATCAATAGAGACGGTACAACATTGAGCGGCACGCAGCTGACTAAATCTCCCGGGTTGACTTTGAAGCTACGCTATACCTCACCATTTTCCCATTCACCGTCGTTCGAATCAACATCTATTTCCTATTTATTTTCATCTTCCCTCGCTAATCCGACAACCATGGACACTTGCAATAACAGGAATATGATAGTCGATGCAAGGATCAGGACTCAACAACATCATCACCACTACCTTGTTTGACGGATTAAACGCATGTTAATTGGATTAGTGTTTTTATGAAGATATATGTATGTTTATGAGAACCGGAGAGACAGTGATAAAGCTTTAGTTGATTGTAATTACATAATCAATCAATTTTTATGCATGAGTATCTCGAGAGACTCATGAGTTATGCATAGACCGATAGACCGGAGAAGCTTTGGCAGAAGCTGATGCAACCTCGTTGTGATTTTATCGATGGATGAAGGGATAAATTACACCGTGTTACCTACTGGTAAAGTTACTACAAGACAACAAAGGGTTATTGGCAGACAAGCAGACCAGCAAGGTAAAGCAGGCTGAAGATGAAACTTTTTTGGAGTTTTTAGCCTATGGTCACAGTTGATAGTCAATGAAACAGGTTATTTGAATGCTGAATGGGAATAAAGTCTTAAACAGTTATCATAGAAGCTCACACCGAGGACCGAGTTAATCCTTTCAGTCTAGTTTGATTTTGTCATGTGTAATGTCACGGGTACGCAACTAGCCAGCCGTAGTCTGACGGCAATCTCTATGGTAATCGCCCTACCGGTTTTGGGCGGGCTCCACGATGTTCTCTTGGGATTATAGTAGCTCTGGAATCTCCAGCCATTTCAAATGTCTCCTGTCTCTTCGCCTCGACGTAACCATGCGCTGGTATTGCCACTGTTACAGCTACTGCTACTGTCAGTATTTGCTTCGAGAATAACGAGGGAAATGCCGGTTGTTTAATTTAGTATCCGTGAATCCATGAAATATAATGCTCGGGATAATCAGAGGGTCATCAATCATTTCCAACGGCACTTGTCCTTCTCCTTGTTGCTTCTGGGTTATATTTTCTTGTAGCTGTACTTGATGAAAACAAGAAGTTGTTCGTAGATCTAAGACCTCTAAGAAGCGTGAACAACCGTCGGACATCAGACATGAGACAAGAAGTGTTCCTGTGTAAGGCTACGGAAAAAAAGCATTAGTCGGGGCAATTATCCTGGAAGGACGAGACTCTGAAGTTACGGTGTCTAATGGCAGTGTGCTTCCTGGCCGCACCCTCAACAACACACTGAAACCACATCGACATCACTAGTTAAGAGAATTGTGTCCCCAAGGGGAACCAGCCACCCTCTCACACATAAACACTCACACGCATACTGTCAGTTAGAATCACCTAGTTCTTTTACACAACTCGATCAGCCCTATATTTATATTTATATTTGTATTTGCTTCCGTTATTAACTTCCCATTACCAGACATACGCAAATTGATTTCCCTGAATTTCGTTGAGCGCCCTTTGAACTCACTTTCTCCGGACTATCGACTGCTATTTGCCTAAATATTGGATACTGAAATATGTTTAGATAATAAACAAAGATAACCAACTAGAGTAAGTTGAAAATTTTCCCATAGAAAAAAAGTTTTCTTTGTTAAATAAATTCAAGGTCATCGTGCAACATAACAATCAGCTGCAAAATGGCATTATAATGAGTATTCAAACTATTAAAACTTATACAAAACTTATTGCCAGCAATAAAAGGTCGGGTAATTTAAGTTCGCGAGAAAATAGTCTCGCAGGTGACTATTAATATAATAAGCCATAATATAATATAATATAATATTATAAAATGTGTAAGACGCCATGAAAAAAAGAAAGATAGTCGTCTAGAATATAAATCGCGTTTATAATCCTATAATACTCTGGCGCTTGAAGAAGAATCCGTGGGAGGGAGCGAGTAAAGGATAGAAGGACAGAGAATATAAGGGTGATGACGGTACGGGATATGTAAGAGAATTCTTCTAACGATCTGTCTTTGTTCGTTCGGCTGGTAGGTTACGGTGAAATAGCAGTACCACTGGCAAGCAACCTCCGGTCTGGTCCTGCCGCTACACTAGGCTATGTATAGGCTAGGATACATAGGTACCTGGCATATACTGTATAGCCTGGCATAGTACCGAGATAAAACGATGGCTGTAGGAAGGAAGAAAACGTTTTCTACAGTTTTTTCTTCGTTAGTTTCCGCTCCAGGAGCCGCAACGTCACTCATTCATCTCTTTCATCATTTTACACTTTAACTTATCCTTTTTTGCCCTTCTATTCCCTTTCTTCAGTACTTTTATTCCCCCTACACTTGTTCCATCATTATTTGCGGGAATCTTTCCATTCAAATGGAACACAAAAGGCCGTACACTGACGTATTGCGACTGGTGTCACGCTTCAAATCAACTCATTAATTGTTTTTCTCTCATAAGAAAGAATATTTTTAACGATTTCCACCTGGTTTTGCAAAGAGCAGTTGATAATCAAAATAAACTCCGGTTAATTACACTCGCTAAGAGACAAAGATATGATAGGGTAGCTTTTGCTGGATTGCCAATCACGGGAGAGGGATACGACAAGGTGCTAACACTCCCTTAGCGTATACATTAGGAGACCAAGCCGCTATCATC